ATGCATACACAGTTTCGCCGTGTCTTATAAATTTAAAAAGGAGCAAAAACAAATTTGTTAACACTTTCCCTCTTTTAGATTCTGAGCGGAATGATGGATGTATTGATTTTATAATGATGTGTGTAGTGTGTTTTTTATTTTTGTGTCTATCATTACGTTTTGGGACTGTAAATGTACTTCAACAGCATCTTTTCTGGAAGGAAAGTGAATCTAGTTGGTACTTTGGTAGGGTAAAAAAATTCCCAATAGTTTTTAAAAGCGGCAGGAATAGCAAACAAAAATTAAGGGAAAACAGGAATTTTTACTTCCCAGTAAGTAGTTTATTCTGTAACCAAAAAAATCTAAAAGTATTTAATCACAGTTTTTTTTAAAAAATTTGTATGTTCAAATGCGTACGAAATCACATATTAAATAACTAAGAATATTGATTTATGTTATTTTGTGGTAAATTCAAAATATTATTCGTGGGTACTTGAAACTTGTAAAGTATATTATTAAATTTTATACACACAATAACTTTTCAAATGTATTTTTTTCGACAAAAATTAATTTAACCTACTGTAGAACTAATGCTTACTAGTAAAATAAATACTTTAATCACAATCATATCATCAAATATACTAACTAAATAATATTATAGACTGACAGACCGTCTTCGCTCAGAGTCGTTTTCCCTATACAATGATAATATATTATTAAATTAAAATTTAACACCATCCATCACAATGACCTACTGTACAGCAGAGTGACATCCATTTACCCGCTTTTTTATCATGAATGTGTTCAAACTCCTTGATTGGTTCTACAACTGGTATTATATTTTTATATAGGTATTTTACAGTCTTCGTGATGCCGAGGTACCCATCTTTTGTTTATTTGGCAGGTATTTTAGGAATTAGGATAGTTTGTTTGTCTATCCTTTAGGAATTAGAAAATACAGAAAATACAGTCTATAATTACTACTATATACAATTTTTAACCTTAACACTTTAAGACGTAACCCATAGCCTACCCACCCATTCATCTATTTACCAATAAAAGAAATAGAGTAGTCCGTCCACTTGGTGGCATATGTACTCGGCTCCACTGTTGATACAAAAAAACATAAAAATTATATTACACTATTATGTGTAATCACTTATCTATCTGCACGTGCCATGTTACACCGACTAGACGTGATTATAATACAATATATGATAAAATTAAAATGGCCATAACTTCGAAACGGAGTACGAGTGACAATTTATTATTGCACCATTGTTCTTACCTTGGTGAAATACGTTAATTTCAAGTTCCAAAAACTTTTTTCAATTTCCTGAGGGGGCGTGGTAAAGTAAACAAACATGTTCCTAAGATTATTTTACCATGGTTCAACGTGAGTACACCCAAAGTGCTAAAATTCCATGAGACGGGTGAGATGGAGCTGAGCAGGCTATCAACCTATTATAATATTGGTACTATAACGTCTATACAACTATATAAATAAACTTTTAAATTAAAATAACAATTCTTAATGTTTAATAATATAATGAAAATACGTATCCCTGGACACTGGTGTTTTACATCTTTTCCATTATTCCACATTTCAGAGCTCACCGCCCTTCCAATGGTCCTTCAAACATACCACTATCATGAAGGGCTGAAGTGCCGCCTAAGGGCCGGTACCACCCACATTTAGAAACACTGGTATATACCTGCATAGATGTTGCGGAGTATTAAATAATAATACAGATACAACAAAATTTCCTTTCGATTTGTTTAAACCTTTTAAATATATTGTTATTATTTTGGTTTGTATATGAATATTTCATCTTCATATGTTTCTATAAATATTATAATTTATTATTAATTATTGTTCCTTTATAGGTGCCTAATACCATTGAATATTGATTAGTATGGATATTATATTACATTATTTTAGGGTGACCGTGTGTAGGTAGGTTAGGTATATAATTATTATCATATTATACATAGCCACATAGGTATACAGAATGAAAATGAAGATATGTGATATTTTTATGTATACCACTACCCTCTCAACAAAGTATGAACTACCTGGGTATACATTATTAATTAAGTAACCTTTAAGGCTTGAAATTTGAAAGATTGAATTTTCATTTATACATAAATCTTTTATAATAATTGCCTATATTAAACCCCTTAAAAATCGTTTGTATTGTACATATCTGTACATATTCATGTTAATCATAGGCATACAATTACCTATATAAAGATATTAATATGTGTGTGGTATAAATGTGCAATGTATAAAATATAAGAATCTACTAAAATTAGTTAACTTTTTTTCAAATTACATTATCGCTTTAGACATTGATGAAAATATATTTTTAACTTCTGAAGTATAAAAACTTTTAGTCTATAAAAATTAAAAAGCTATTTTTTGTAGTTTATTAGGTTTTGATTGTAAGTATACAATTTTTGGGGATATTTCGAGTGAGTCCCGTTTTTAATTTTTACGTTTTTCATAGCCTGAGTGTGTCAGTAATCTTATCGACAAATTATATCAAATAGCCGAGTGCGTCCTCGGTGTGCAGCCAAAACTTTTAAGAACAAGAATAAACGATAGACTATTATAGCACAAATGTACAATTATGTTCAATATACGTAATTTTTGTAACAACGACTGTGGCCATGGTTGGGATATCAAATTTTATTTTAACTTCGATAATAACTGATCATGACTACGACTATGTCTTACAACTTACAAGTTACAGTCAATATGTGCGACTGTACGAGTATAGTGAATTTATTCATTATTGCTCAAAGTAGTGTCTTAATAGACAAGTATAGTTACAAATATTTTTAATAAGAAAAAAAAATGCTTCATTTGGATTAAACGTATCAAAAAAAAAAAAAATATTATACAAATTAGTACACCTAACCAAATTTAAAATGTGAAAAATGGCCAATGGTACTTAAGCCTAAATAATAAAATAATAACCAAATATTTTTCGAGAGTAAACTAATTCACTTTCTCGTGCATAGTGCATAAATGGTAACTTCAACGAACTCGGACGCAGTCGGGCTACGTCATAATTATGATTAAGAAAGAAAAATTCTTAGGACGCACTATATGGACTCGGTATTTTCTGGACTCGCTTGGGACAATAATAATAAAATAAGGGTCATTTCAGGATGCAATCGTGAAACTTTCATATCAGTATATCACAATATCAGTAATTCATTTTAACTGTCGTTTATAATATACTATAATTAGTAACTATTGAACAATAATGTATACGTATTCTAAGATTTTAGACAAAGCTAATAATAAATGAATTAAGTACTTAATACCGTAACTAGTAATATCATCGTTGATACGAAAAACCTCCCATGTGCCAAATGTGTATGATTTTGAGGATTTGATATCCTTTGATTCAGATAAAAATAAGCAATTTATTGATAAGATCTCTCATTTGCTATCTGCATTGTAAATTCTACTATTTCTACTTTAAAGTAATAAATAATTTTCCTATGGGTTACCCAGAGTTGCCTACAATAAATTGATTGTTTATGAAATACCTCCTATGTGGTAACTCAATCGTGGAAAAATTCTCCTATGTATAACTAACCATAAATCATTTATAAAATAACTGATGTGATTTTTTTTTTTAAAACGTTTTTCTCGTCTTATGAAAACTCGTGTTTTTGCGCATGGGAGGTTTTTTCGTGTCAATGACCTTGTGTAAGTACCTATCTAAGTATGTAACTCGTAATAATTTAACACATTATTATACTAAATCAAAAAAAAAAAAATTCCTAAATCTAAAATTATTTTTATTAGTAAATTGATTCATTTGGCCACTGTTTTCACTCTAACATAACTACTACTGCTAGTAACAATGGTTTCAATATTGAGCCTTATGTTTTTAAAGTTGTATAGGTATAACAATAAGTCTGTAAATAAAATATGTTATAGTACTTGTATTTTGTTCACCAAATAAAAAAGGCTATAAAATAAATGTTTTTCCGATTTTGCATAATATAGTCATTACTCATTAGTGACAATTTATAGTAGTCTATAATGTGTATATTATTCAGTGCTTATAATATATTCAAGTTCTGTGAGTTATAAATAGCATCTAAAAACAGTACATTAACATGTATTAATGTATTATACATTTACTGATATGGGTGCTACCTAAGTTACTAACTTGGTATTAAAAAAAAATTTCATATACCTACAGATGTTTTTAGTCTACCAAGATTAATGGGGAAATGGTTTGAGAGTTTGAGACTTAAACATGGTGATGCACAAATAGAAAGTAGTGGTTCTCATTTGATTTTCAAAATTCCGCTTAACGATAAATTGTCTAACTTCCAAAAAACAACTTTACCTTAATACTTTCTTATTATGTCATCATACAATAATTTTGTACTATACATTTATAGCTATTTCTAGATGTTTACGATGTAATAATAATATTGTTGAATGTGGAGTTGCTGTTCTTTCCGTGTTTCCGTATGAGTTACAAATTAAAATTATTATGATATCATGAAAATATGTTCATGCATTATACTATTATGGTATAAGAAGTATAACTTAAGTCATTTAAAATACCTAATAATAATAAACACAATGATTTACATGATATGATTAATTATTCACATGATATTGTTGTGCGACGGGAAGGACGGTTGTAGATTGACCGTAAGATTTATTGTATCGCTGTCATATTTTACTTGAGTATGCGACGAGTACGATAATCCGCGGTTTGTAAGGCACGACCGTCAATGTGATTAAAAAAATGTTTATTCTTGGAGCGATGTTGCCAAGACCTTGACCCCTTGGCCGACGGACTACGACTGTTGCCTGTTGGTCACACTGTTCGCCGGTCTCCTGGTACCGTTGACGGTGGTGAACGTTGCGCGGAACGGTCGCTGTAATAAAAGCGTAGACGAAAACGCCGACAATCAACCGGATAAGCAACGATTGCGAGACCGCAACTGCACCACACTGGTGCGTTGCTCAACGCTGTTGCCTGCTGCAGTCGTGGTCGGCATTGTAAAGTGTTTACTGCTTACTAACATTTTCTTCTCCACTACCCGGGTGCTGTGCACTTCGGTGGCTTTTGGACTGTACGAGCGGTGGTTGTTTTCTCTTCCACGGCCCTACCTGTGATACGACCCCCCCACGCGTCCCTTCAGCGATGTGTGGGACAACATCATCCCCCCTCCAGCCGTAGGTGGCCGTAGTGGCGGTAAGTCCGCCGTGTTCCGTTTCGCGTCGACGGGTCGTCCGTGTCCCCCTGGCCCCTGGCCCGTTTCGCAAGTTCCGTTACCCATTATCCATCGTCTACCGAGTTCTTCGGGTTTCGCTGTCTGAATTTCGAGTGCGGCCGTCTGAGGTTTTCCGTAATCGCTTCGTTGTCATGGACTCGGCAAACCGATCGCGGGGAGTGCGCGCGCCCGTCGCGTTTGGCCGTTCGCGTCGTCTGCCGTCCGGCCACTGTGACCACCGGCGGAGTTCGTTGGCCGCCGGAGGGTCTGGTGGACATCGAGGGTTCGTACCGTCGACTTGCCGGCACCCACCGAATGAAAATGTGGACGCCGTATAAATGGCTTTGGCTTCAACGTTACTGTCCGGTGAGTAGCATTGCAGTCTCCGGACGCTCGTCAACACCAACTTGTTCCTCTTAAAACCGAAGAGGCTAGAGTATCCATTTCGACTTATTCTTGTCTGCCCCACTGCTCACCGTCAATTACAAGACGGTTATTGAGCTAAGGTTCATGTAAACCTTTAGGTTTTCATTCTTTAGGTATTCATAATATTATGAATATTGGCACACACACACACACACACACACACACACAGACACGCTTGAAAACCATAAGTTTTCCCAACTTTCGAGGTTTTTAAAAATTTTTTTTGCATTTATGTTATATGTTGTTTTTGTTATTAATTGACACAAAGTACAGACCGCTATGTCTCTTTGTCGGGTTACCGTCATTATCTACTCTTTTCCCTGTGATTGCTCTTTGTCAGATTGATTTAGATTCTTGTGAACTCTACAGTTCTTTGTTAACATTGAAAACTTTTCTTAATTAATCCAGCAATGTTCCTTATCAATGTATGAACGTAATACATTATCTGAAAGTTATCTTAGACACCTTTTGTTATAAACTCCCAGATAAGTTCCTATTGATCTATCTACTCAAATTTTGAAAAAGTCATTGATTTCTTGTATCGCAATAACAAAACTTATTGAATTTAAAATATGAAATAATGTGGTTTTTTCCTATTATTTGATCCTTATCAGTCCTAATCCTTCTTTTAATCTTCTTATTAGTCAGAATAATGAACTAAAGTTGGTGTATCTATTATCATTAGTACAACGTTAAAATTGAAGTTGGACTACTTCATGTGTTATCTTTTTATATTTCATTTTTAATTTAGCTGTAGGTAGCTAATATTTAAAATGTTTTTGTTAATTATAATTTTTCAAGGTATTTTTCATAATTTATTATGTACTTACTATAGGTACCTAATCTATAACGGTCCTTATTTACTTACGAATACAGATTATTTTTGAATTGTTACTCTGGTCTTTGACAGAAAAATGTTATAAGAATTTACCAATATGAAAAAATCACAAGACATGTTTGTGTGGCATTTTTTGTTTACATATACCATATCTTATCAATACCAATAGATAAGTGGTTTAGATTGAATTGATAAATTGTATACTGTTATTACATTTGAAGCTATTATGGTTAATTGTATATGTCCATGAGCAAAATTAGAACATTTTATCAGGCCAAATGATAAATATGAAAATAAATTATAATCACAAAATAAGTTCTTAATTTTAAATTCTATTAAGTCATTATGTTATTCAGTCAGTATTAAGTCAGGCAATGGCCTGACTTGCCTGATCCATAGTTTTGCCTATGATTGTATCATCCTCGGTATCAACTTTCTTTGACTTATTTTTTGTTTTCGATATTAAGTAGGTACTTGCCTAGGTATTGTAATTTGTGATTTTATTTGAATTCTTCAACTGTTTTATTAGCTATTAGGTAGTTATTGACTTTGATAATTGTGAGTGGCTTATTTATTCTTGAATAGTAGTATTAATGTTTAAATTATATTCCTTACTGAGGTTTGAAATAATATGCTCTAAAATCAATAAATTGAATTTCAGAATTAACTAATAAGTGTATTAAAATATTTTTTTTTCCGGAATTGTTCATTTTGTCTGATTATCCGAATATACTTAAATTGAGATTTTAATTCAGCTAATCTACTGTCCTTTTTTTTTTTTTAATAATAATATCTTATTTTATATAAAATGAGGAGGGTTTAAAAAGAATATATAGGTATCTATATAATTAGCAGAATTTATAGGCACTTTTGAATTTATGAATTTTCATTTTTTTTCATCAATATTTTTACTCCATTGTCTCTCAAATGTTATATTTAATACTTATATTGAATGTTGTGAAATAATAAAATGAAGATAAATTGTACCTAATATCTAGATCATGTGATGTACCTATGTGGCTTGTTAACAAGTTTTGTTAAAATTCAAACTTACTTTTTTGGTGCATATTGGTGACAACCCTTTTGATTTTCCCTCAAAATTATTATTAAATTTATAATTTCCTTATTTGTAAATAGTAAAACAGTTTTTTTGGATTTTAGTCTATAGTCACTAAAAACACGGGAGGTCATCCATTCAGGAATTAGTGACGCAGGCTGATGCTTTACCTCAGATCTCGTTAATGACAGGCCAACCGCCAAGCCACATCAGGCCGTGATTAAAAGTTTATTTGTTCACAATTTTATTATTCATGTTATTTAGTGTTTGATCACAATGTTCAATGAAAAAATACCAATTTAAACATTGAAAAATAAACGAAAACAGTTTTTCTAAAATTAAAATTGATGCTTACTCAGGTAATTTCACTCCCTACTAAAAATGAGTTATTATTCTTTATGTCTACCCTTATGTGCATCACTATTTTTCAAAATTATTTTCTATTTATTACATACATTTAAGCATTATCACAGGCGCGGATTCAGTAGGGGGCGGAGGGGGCGGCCGCCCCCCCCGTAAACTGTGTTTTGTTTAGGAAAAATGCCCAGTAAAAAGATTTAAAACTAATTTTAATACGTTGAGTGCCGCAGTCGACGGGTAGTAGACAATTGTCAATTTGTATAGGCTTATTTTTGGCCTTATAATTTACTCGGTTATCAGATCAATTCTTCCGTTTATATACGTGGTTATTCAGTGAAACGTCTTCTTTTCAACGGTGGATTCGGATTTTATTTTCGTTCATTTTTAACAAGTAATCGTTATTTGGAATTTATCAATTGATTATAAAGTTGTATTAACCATAACTGTTTCGTGTAAGTTATTTTTGAACACAAATATGTGCGCTTGGCCACATATTATATTTTATTAGATATTTTATTTTGTATGTAAAATATTCGCCCCCCCCCTAATCTCGGGCTGGATCCGCGCCTGCGATTATCATAATAATTTAAAATTAAGCTAGAGCCTAGTTAGTTATACTATTTGAGGCAGAAATTCTATAATATTGTTATTTATAAAGTTAATATTATTTTGTTTCAGATTTGGCGTCTAATTAGTCGTAAGTCCAAATTTGGTAACATATGAGGTAAGTGGATGAATGTTGATTATAGTTCTAAAAAAAAGTGCCAGTGGTTCAATATAAATATTTTTGAAATTTATTTCCCCCGTATTAAATATGCTACTGATAGTTAAGGTTACTTAACTGGTTATTTAGGAAAATAGGAAAATGATCAAGTACCTAATCCCAATATCCATTTTGAATAGCTAATTTATTGTTATAAATCTTGTTAATGTACCCATTGTATGATTTTAAACCTGGCTGTTAAAATTCATGATTTTGTGTTAAGTATTGGGGATTTTAATTAGGTTATTTTTATTAAATATTTTAAATTAAATTAGGTAGTAAACATAATGTTTATTCTATTGTAGTTCATTTGTAGTTAAGATTTTTATAAAAATTTCTATTTTACTATATTTAATTGAATACAATTATATTTATATAGTGCACTACAGTGTTCAAACAACACATAACATTGAATAAATATTTAGTTTTAAGATAAAAATCAGAGAATCCTTTATTTTTTGTCCCTTTGAAAATTATGAAGAAATATTGGTAAGTCTTGCTTTGCTTAATATGTTAAGTATAATTAATTATACTAAATATTTTAAATGGTTGGTAGGTACATTGATATCTATTGAAGTGTAAGATGTAATGTTATTGGTGCATCTTATTTGTCAGTTTTTGATTTACCAAGTAAGAGTTATGTATAGGATTTTTTTTTGCTTTTATACGCTTTCAGTTGTAGCTGGCTGTAAATCAAGATGCAAAATCTACTAAAGGTTTGGTAAAGGAGACAAAAAATATTCATCTGTACATTTGGATTTTAATGTTAAAACAAGTATCTATTTAATATATTTATTATTAATTTGTGTATTTTAAATAATACATTTAAAAAGTATTTTTTGAGTAATATTTCTTTGTGAATGAAGCATTATTAAATTAAAAAGGTTTTTCTATGTGAGGGTTAATTTAATATTATATGAAAATAATAATTTCAATAATTTAAACTATGATAAGATATTATGATAAATGCATTAACATCAGAACAAGGCAATTTTGAATGGAATATGTAATCTTCCTTGCTTACACATTACATTCAATTGTCTTGTCAATACATTAAACTTTGTTAGTAGGTACCTAATAATTTTTATTTCAAATTACATTTGATGCCCAATTAAATAAAAAATACGAATTATAGTTTAGAGAACATAAAATAAAAAATAAATTTTCTTATTAAAAGAAAGTAGGTACCTATTGTTTTTAAAATTTTTTATTTCAACAATAAGATTAAGATGTTATCAAAATTATGATATTTTTAGGAAGTTCTACTCAATTATTACTTTATTTGTCTAACTTCTATATTCTACTGTTATATAATTGATGATAAATTCATACATATCTAGCATGTCTCGAGAAAACTTAATTATGTTGTTTCCTTACTATTTATGTACACTTACTGAGCTGATGTTTTGTTGTTTTTTAAAAAAATAATTTTTTTGAATATAATAATTTTTTAAATATATTATTTTGATTTTATGGAAAATGTATGAGTATCTATACACAAATAATAATTATATTATTATATTTATAGACCATTAGAGCTTAATTAATTTTAAATTAATTGCATTATTTAGCTATGAACTAAAAACACTAAAATATGTATTTAAATATGCATCACTTGGTGTATCCAAATGTATTGATGAAATGATTCTCTAGTTTTTCTTTCACTGAATTAAGTTAAAATTAAATTAAACCATTGGGATATTATCAAAAATAAGTATATTTACTTGTTCTCATGTCAATGTGTACATTTATCAGTTGAGTTTATTACATTTATGTTATGTGATTTGTTTTTTAATTTAAACTATGTAAAGTGTTGTGAATAAGAAAAAATATTGAAGTTCAACAAAATTGCAGTGTCTTAAACCTTTTTTAATCATTATTTTATGTATAATTTTGTGTTTATTACAATATAATTGTTTGTAATTTGCATCAAAATTGTCTAGTGTGTAAGGTAAGTATTGGTAACCAAGGTAATTTAACTTTTAAGATAAATTTTATAATTCAAAACTATGTGTGTATATGGTATTGTAATCTAATGATTATTTGTTGTCCTATTACATTTCATCTTTAACAGTACATTTTATGGAGTCAAGTGTATATCTTTACAAAAAATACTTAAACTTAAGTAAAGTGAGTATTGTTAACAAATAACTATAATTGTGTATATTTTAATGAATGATAATTTTAGATATAATAATGTGTTAATTAAATTTTACATATTATACAATATGTATATATAATTTAATCCATTCTGGATATTCCTTAGTATTTCAGGCTTCAGCACAAGCAATGAAACAACTAAATTTCATATAAACAGGTAATAAATATATACTTTGTTTACAATCTTTATATATATATAATCTATGAAATTGCTTTATTCAGTTTTTCAGACTGAGTTGAATATCATATTTAATTATGTATTAACATTAATTACTGATTGTTTATTATCATTTAAAAATAATAATTATTAATTAATGTAAGTATGATTAGATACTCTGTTATGTTTTTCAGTTAAGCTCATAATTAGTTTCACAAAATTATGAAACAAAATACAAAAGTTTTTAATGCTTTTTTAAATTATATTACTTAATTTTCTAAATAATGGTATGTATCTTGATAATTTATTTGAAGTATGTTTTGTGTGAACAGTTTTTGATAACTTACAAATCAAATAGGAGGATATTTAATGTTTTCAGTTCGATTCGCTAACTTTTCCATCCATTAAAACATTAAATACTATTTTTATCCTTAGTTAATCAACAATTAGTAATTGATTTATAATCAATAAATTTTTATTTAAAATAAAATTTTAAAGAATTAAAAACTGTTGACAACTGTTATAAACTGTACATTTTATTATAGAAATTGAACAAGGTTGAATTAAAACATTTCTTCACCTTGATGGGATAACAAGATTTTTTTAAAGTATTATTTTTCTAAGCTCTATTTTATTTTTTTTAAGTATTTCAACTATGTATTGTTAAATATTTTAGGCGTGGATAAAAACTACAACACATTTTGCTACCACTTATATTTTGTCTATCTTAACTTAGAATGGAGAATAATAGATTTAAATTAATTATTCAAACGTAAAAACAATTTAACATTTTATGTATGTTTTTTAGATAAAAGACAAATTATAAAATTGATTCTCAATCCTAATATTTTGTTTATACATCTTTATGTAATGTTTTTTATAATAAATTCATAAGTTCATTTTATTTTTAAATCAAAATTTACAATTGTCGCTTAAGTAGAATTTACCCTCAATATGTTAATGACCTTCTAAATCATTAAAATTATATTTATATTTAAATACAAAATCGAAGATCATCATTAAAACTGTATATACTATATATTGAATCAATTAAAATTTTTAAATCAAATATAATTTATGTAAACAAAAATGATTTTTTCAACTTAAAATAATTTCATTCCATATCATTTTACTTATTTATTATGTTAATTGTCTTTTTTAAATGTGGATATCCTTTTTTTGTCAAATTGTCCTGTTGTTGGTTAAATCCATTGTAGTTCTGTTTCTGATATATTATTCCTTTTAATGTTTCCTTATGTTTTTTCCCAGTTTCTGTTGGAGCCTTCAGTTGCATTGGTTGTCATCATATTACGCTTCAAAATCAGGGTTGATTCAGCATAAGAAGTTCAAGTGACAACTTAAACCTACATTTATATTGTTGTTCTTTCTGCTTCAAAAATTTTCTGTGCTGTTATCCCCAAACTACTATAAATTATTAAAATTCATCATTCCTTTTATAATCATTCAATATTTCCTTAAGTTGGTTTACTATTATACACATTTTACAATTCGGTTAGTTTCTTTGTATATTTTAAATTAATTCACATATTTTGAACCCTAGTTATATTTTTAATGATCAAATTTGTAGTTGAAATTATAGTAAACCTCTATTCGCTTAGTAGTAATACAAACCATATGTAATTATTTAATTATTGTATGAAAGTTATTTTAATGATTTCCGTATGAATTGTTTTCAATTGAAATTAAATTTTGTATTATGTATTTTTTTTTAATAATTTATTGTTGCGATAAACTTTTGTTAATACAATACAGTAATTTTTTGCATCGATGTATTTTGTACACTATATCACAATTGTCATTTATAAGTTCCTTTTGTAACGCAACAAATGTACTTTTCCCTCTGTGATAATTTGTTTTTTTTATGTCATTGTTTTGTAAACAAATTTTACAGATATATGGAGAGAAATAAATTTATAAAATTTTTAGTAAAAATGTTATTTTTTATATGGTATATAACATCAGGTTAAAATAAAAATATTGATTGAGCTTGATCAAAACTTGGATTAGATGAAATAGACACATTTATAAACTTGTAAAGGTTTTTAAAATTTAAATTATATCAAGTAATTAGTTACATTTTTGCAATGTCCAAAGAAGATGTTTTTACTTATTAGGGTATATCATTAACAATTTGAAACTAATGGACTGAAAACCCAAACTTCTTTTTTTTGTAATTTGCTTAGCTTTTATTCATCTTACTATGTGTAAATTACTCAAATACAAAGGTTAACCACAGTTAACGTTTATCACCAGGTACACATTTCTTCTTGGCGCACAGAGGCAGGAAGCCTTCTGTATCAATGCATAATGTTCAATTTGTTGATGGTCGATGGGTGTGCCCGTGTGGAAAAAATTACAAGTCTAAAACAAGCCTAAGTCTACATATGCGATTAGAATGTGGAAAAGAACCACAATTCAAATGTGATCATTGTCCATACAAAGCATACCAGAAAATAGCCTTACAGAAACATACTTATTGTAAACATCGTTGTGTAGTTCAGACTGAATGACTTTATTTTATTGTATGTATATAGACATATATATTATACAATTCTAATATTGTCAAAAAAAAAAAAAAATATTCTTATTATAATAATCAAATAATATGGTTGTTTATAGAAACACGTCGATTAAATTGATACATAATGTGGATCCATTATTTAAAGGAAACAATTATAGTTTTAATTCTATGCATAGAAACATTTTGAGTAAATTCTCATCCTGCTGAAACGTAGTATACATTTACTTAGTTATAAGTAAAGAATATATATTATTAAATAATATCACTTGTATACTTCAAATATTTTTTATCCTATTTTTTTTTTTTTTGACAACAAAAATCCTAGTGATGAATTTTTTTTACCAACATATTTTGATATACATTTTTGTACACATAAACTAATTTATAAAAGTACTTATTATTTTCAAAAAATGCCATTGTTTAATTTTAAAGAAACTACTAAAATGTATTTTTATGCATACATAATATGTTTAAAAATTAATAGTTCTTTTATTTTATTAAGTTTTTGTAATTGTAAGTTAAATAAAATATTAATTTCTGGCTAAAAATTTTTATTCATCAGAGAAATATATTATATTTTAGTATAAGTTTGTAGATACATTATCAAATACAAGTGAAAATATTAGAAATTTTTATTTTATAGTATTTAGAGTTATAATTAGTATGCTAATGTCATAATCAAGACCACAGGCTTAATTAAGTTAAATTTTAGCTGCAGCATAACTAAAAATGTGTAGAAACTTTACAATTACCCATAAAAGTTCTATCTATAAGACTGTTTGCTTCAATTGCAATTATACTCAATTATTTATTCATGAAGATCTTTTATCCTTTTGCT